AGTCGTACTAGTGAGAAGAACATTTCTAAAAAAGATACTGTGAAAAAAAGACAGGAAAGTGTGAGGGGTCAAAGAGAATCCAACAGACATTCTGGAAAAGTAGAAACAAGTTCTGGACAAAATAGAACAAATCATTATGCTAGTGATGAAGAGTATCAAAATAAAAGCAGGCAGGAGAGAAAGGTAATCATTCATAAAAAAGCTGTGGATTCCAGTGATGAAGAATCACTTGTGAGAAGAAACGAGCATAGTGAGAGAGAAAGTAGGAGAGATGAAGATAACAGGAGATCAAGTAAAACAAAAGATAAGAGACATGATACTGGTGTGATGCGAAGGGAAGTACAAGTTATACCAAAACAAAGAAATGATGAAGAATCAAGTGAGGAGGAAGTGAGACATGATAGGAGTAGGCGAGATGGAAGTAGAGAGTCTAATACAATAAAAAACACTAGTAGAAGAAGGGAGGGATACAAAGATGGAGAGAGTCGGCATGCTGATTCTGAAAGAAGCAACAGGCTAGCTTATGCTGACCCAAGGGGAGGTAAAAGTGACAAAAGTAGAATTGATCTAAGGGCTCGAATAGAGTTGTATTCTAGTGAAGAAGACTCTACAGACCAAATAAATGAAAAGACGTCACACTTTCAAGAAACGATAGACATTATTCAGATGCAAGAGATGTCAGAAAAAGAGTGCAACAGAGAGATGAAAAGAAATACAGAGATTCTAGTGAAGAAATTCATTACACAAAAGAAGAACGAAATATGGGAAGTAGGAGTATTGACAGAAACACAACTAGGAGAGATGGGATAAACAGAGAGAAAACTGTAAGAAAAGCCCACAGCAAAAAGGGACATTCTCCTGATGGAAAAAACTATTTGGATAAATATCAACAAAATCGAAGGGAAAGGGAAATATCAATACACAGCAGTGACGATATAAATAAAAAGAAATCTATTTCAAGAAATGAAAGAAACAACTATTCATCAAGAGAGCAAAGACATGATGATATGGAACAGAATCTAGTCAGAAATAGAGGAGACAGGGATAGAAGAAAGTCTGATTCTGAATCATCTTCAGCATCATCAGATTCTGAATCAGAATTAGAAGAAGATGCCATTCCTCGCCAAAAGAGTGAGATTATAGAACGGAAAGTATCTGGTGATGAACATTATTCTGGAAGAAGTAATAATAGGAAAGGGAAAGAAGATGTCAGAATAGAGGAAAGGCGTAGACAAATTAGTATTTCTACCGATGACTCAACTAGTGAGGAGGAGGAAGAAGAGGAGGAGGAGGGAGAAGAAGAGGAGGAAGAGGATGATGACGATGAAGAAGTGACAGCA